CCCTGTGCTCGCTCCTTCCACAGGCTGGGATCACTTCTGGTCAGCACTGCTAGGCCTGGCTTCCAGAACTGGGGTAAGGAACCTGGGGATAGGGGTCTTTCAATCTTCCCCCACTCAACTGTCTGTTCTTTGTGAGGTAAAAATTCCTGAGGCTGTGAAGTGAAAAGTTCCTGAGGTGAAATTTCTTGAGGCCTGGTCTGCTTCCTCACAGAGCTACTTCACAGCCTGCTGTTCATTGATTCAGTGGAGTTGACCTGAAGGGGTCTGCACTTCACTCAGGCCAAACCTCAGCCCCTGAAGTTCCTATCTTTTCTGAGATCCTCTTGAGTTATCTTAGGAGGACAACTGCTTTTACCCATTTACTTTTGCTATTCTATGTTCATTTCATGGCAATTTTCTGTCTGTGGAGAAAATCTGGAGAAACTGGAAATTTCTGACCCACTCCATCATCTTCCCAGAATGCCCATTATCTGATCTAAGGTCTGATCACAGCCCTCACATTCTTTGTTCTAAGATTCTTTCTAGGTCTGACATTTCATATGTATATCCTAAGATTGCTTCCTACTCTTACATTTATAATTCCTTGAATTGAGCAGCCAGTATCATAACATAGCCTATGACTGAATCCCCCATGTCACTGATGCCCATAGCCATCCCTTTATTCAGCTAAGAATTTTAAGCCACCAGTGTGTTTGAAGCCCAAATCTGGGTTCGGTATGTGGGAAACAGAATAGAAGCAGATCTGGGCTGTGCCTTCACGGGGATAAGAGAAGGAAATATCATAGTCAAGGTGTAATGAGGGACATAGTGGCTGTAGAAGAGGAAAAATATCCCACCCCTGTGTGTGGAGTGGATGTATCCTGTCACTAGTTTTGCAGTCTAATTACTTATCTTTTACTTTGAACTAATGTGCCTTCTGGTTAAAAAGAAAAAACCCAAACCATCTATTCTAAAAGGATAAGGACTAATCTTGTAGCTTCATTGACAGGAAATTCTGGGATGAAGAAGAGTCCTCTACCAAAGTAGGTTGGTATCTTCTCTGCAACTTATAGCCTTAGTGAGTTGCCTAAAGGCACTGGGAAGATGTGATACAGTCAATGTTAGAGGCTAGACTTAAACCAAGATCTAGCTCCAAGGCCAGCCCTCAATCTACACTAACAGACTTACTAAAATATACATACCTTTTGATCCAGTGATAACACAACTAAAGGTTCCATGTATACAAAATATTTATAGCAGTAATTTTTGTAACAGCAAAGAACTAGAAGGAACGTGGGTACCCATCAATAAGGGAATGGATAAATAAACTATGGCATATTAATTAAATATCCATTAAACACTATGTGCCAGGCACTGTGTTAGTCATTAGCACAAAAATAAAAATGGACAAGTCCCTCCCCTTAAAAAGCATACCCTCAAGGAGCAAAAAAGGACAAAAGTCCTTACCCTCAAGGAGCTTACAGTCTAATAGGGGAGAGAGAAATATGCAAAATACATACAAATACATACATACAATACACATACACATATGCATATGTGTATATATATATATATATATGTGCGTGGATATACATACACAAGTACCTAACATATAAAGCAGGTACAAAGCAACCTTGAAAGGGAAGGCACAAGTAGCTATGGGGACCAGGACTTGCTCTGGGTCAGGCCTGAATCAGCCCCATCCAGTGGTTCAGCCTCAGGATTGGAACAAAATGAGAGACCCCTAGACCATGGTGCCTTTAGAATAAGGACATTTACTCCATAATAACAAAGAAAGTATATTCAGCAAAGATTCAGTTGGTTGCAACTCCTCTCACTTCCACATTTACCAGAAATGGTGTGGCCTGTCATTAGAAATGTGTTGACTTAGAAGGCAGTGGGAAGCCATCAAATCTGAGGAGTATCAGACTACTTGAGGCACTGGGCTTTTATGCCTTAGGTGAGCAGGAAACCGTTATACAGAGTTCAGGCCTTAGGCCCTGGACCAATTAAATTTCAAAGATAGTTTTATTGTCCTTTTAGGGAATAACTAGCCTATGTGGCAGGGTCTTCTTAGGTCACACATAATTCCTCCATGCACAAGAGTCTAATATCACTGGTCCCAACCAGATTAGTAGCAAATACTGCTTCTACCAGAAGCCTTATGCAGAAGGAAGCACTTGAGCTAGAATTCAAAGAAACAGAGGTAGAGATGAAGAGCCAGTATGTCTGGACCACAGAGTTCATGGAAGGGAGAAATGTGTAAGAAGGCTTGGATGGGGTAGGTATATGTAGAGCCTTAATTGCCAAACAGAGGCACTTATATTTTATCTTGGAGTTCACAGGAAACCAATGGAGTTTGAGTAGGGGGAGTGAAATGGCCAGACCTTCACTTTAGAAGAATCACTTTGGCAGCTGTGTGGAGCATACATTGAAGTGGGGAGAAGTTTGAGGCACAGACACCAATTAGGAGGCTATTGAAAAAGTATATGAATGTAATGGAATATTGTTATGCCAAAGAAATGACAAATATAAAGAATTTAGAGAAAATAAGACCTGTGTGAACTGATATAGAGTAAAGTAAGTAGGACCAAAGGAACAATTTACATGATGACCATAATAACATACACGAAAACAACACTTAATGACTACAGAATTCAAGACAAGCAAGGACCAGTTGGAACTACAGAAGACTTGATGGTAAGGCATGCATCCTACCTGTATCAAAGAGGAAGGGGATAGTAAATGAGGAATGAGGCATATTTTCTGATGTGGCCAATGTACTGATTTGCTTTGCTTGACTACTTTTACACGGGAGGTTATATTTGTGGGTATGTATGGTGGAACTTGCTGGGAAGTGACAGTGATGTTAAAAAAGCATTAACAAAACATTTTTAAAAGAAAAAGAAATAAACACATTGATGGGGTTCATGAGTTGCTCAATTCAGTTAAATTCAATGAGCAGTTATCAGGAGCCTACTATGTGCTAAGCACTATACCAGGAACTGAGGATACAGAGACAAAGAACGAAATAGTCTCATTTGTCAAATAAATACAAAACATAGAATTTCAGAGAAGGTGAAGCAAAATATTAATGAAGCTTTGAGCAGATGCTGATCCATTATAGGCTTTCAACTTTGGGCAGTTTTTAAAGGACCAATAAATAAAGTGTTTGGAGAATGCAATGCTACATTGTGAGGGCTTGTCTAGTATCTATGTCTGTTTTTTAAAGCCCTAGAATGGCAGTTATCCCAGCAGAGTTTTCCTTTTATCCTATTTCCTACTTTGTGATTAAGCAGCAAGATTTTGTTTCTGATGTGGCTTTTAAAGAGCAGAGAAATTGTTTTAAGTTAACTTGTATCCTTTGAAGGTATGATTGAAATAGAGATTATTGTTCTTGGTGACTGTCAGGTTAAATAGCACCATGGCTGTCCTGGTTTTTGGAAAATTAGTGCACAATTAGGGTAGGATTGGATACTTATTGAGGATTGTTTGTTAGGGGTTTACATGTTTACTAATGTGAGATGGAGGTATTGAAAGAACCTTATATAATAATGCTATGAACAAAATGAGGACAGTTGAGGTACTTAAACCCAAGGTTTAAAAAGAGGAAGGAAAGGCAATATCTATATTACATAAACTGCCTGATGGGGCATATTCCAGAAACGTAGAGATAACTGTGGTGGGGAAGGTTTAGAAACTGGTTCTTAAGTCACTTAAAGTGTACAAGAAGATGGTGAAGAGATTTAAAATGGTCCTGGAGAGACAGAGGGACTGAAGATGAAGAGAAGAATGTGCTGCTAGTAGGGAGAAAGCATCTTGCCGCTCAGCTCAACAACTATGAGTAATCGTTAGGGATGGAAAACAGACTATTGGTCTGCCAGGACAGATACAAGGGACCTAATATGCAGTTATGGCCCTTTTCAGAGGGTCACAATCACTGACCACCAAATGAGGAACACCTTGAGTCCTGGTTAAGAAACAGCATGATGGATGCAGACAACTACAGAAAAATGGAGAAAACAAATAAGGACCTATGGAGAACTTGTAAGAAAGAATACCGAGTTTGAAGTCAAAGAGCTTGTGTTTGGATCCTTGTTCTATCACTTACTACCTACCTGGTGACTCTGAGGAATTCACTTGACTATCTGAGCCTGAGTTTCTGTATTTATAAAACTAGGAGGTCTAGATGACCACTAAGATTTCTTACAGCCCTAAGCCTATGATCAATTGACCCTATGATTTAGTAACTTCAGCTCAATGGGACCTTAGAGATCACCTAGTTCAACCCCCTCATGAGGAAGAAGAAAAATGAGGAAGAAAAGTGATTTGCTTAAGATCACACATTAAGGGGCAGAGTCCAGATTTGAACCCAGGTCCAACACTATAACTGCCTCTTTCACATGGGAGGAGAGAAGTGGACATTTGAATCTAGCCTTTGGGAGAGGAACTGTCAGGAAAGGGGGTCCATGGATTTCAGCAGCCATAATTTGGATCCAGCTCCTCATTTTCTAAAAATTAGGATACAGGAGTTCAGACCATACCAGGAAGCAGACAGCATGGGGGTGTGGGAGGGGAGCAGAGACACAGCACCATCTTCCATCTGGCCCATGGTAACCTGAACTCCTACTCTCAAGTGACAGTTAATAATTGAAGGTGAGTGGCTGCCTCTCCTGGAGCATCTGTCTGTGCGCTTCATCTCCATTTCCCCCAGCCTGGGGCTTCTCCACTCCTGTCCTATACCCTGTGCCAGCCTGTGCCTCCAGATCAGGTAAGAAGGAGCTCTAGGAAGCCCCCAACCCCAAGACCACAAGGGGATATAGTGACAGAGCTAGGAGTAAGAATCTAGGATTCCTAACTTATTTTTTTCACCCTCTGGGAGTAGAAAATGGTGTTTCTCAAAATTCCCAAATTTGGGAAGGAGTCACTTATTTAGGAAATCCAGAAATAACAATGAAAAGAGTTCTGTATTAGCAGTCAGTATTCTTGGGTTCCAGGCCTAGCTCAATGTATGACCTTGGGGTGAGTCCATAACCCTAAATCCTAAAAAAGAATATTCACTAGCAGCCAGGTGCCTTACCAGGGAGGCTGGCACATAAGAGATTCCACAAATTAGACCATTCCAGAGGAACTCTAAGGTCCTTTATGCTATTCTGTGGCTCCAGTTCCCACTGGCAACTGATAAGTTGCCCTTATCTCTCCTATCCTTTCCCTCCTGCAGGATCCTGGGGGAACAAGAACATGTCTCCTGCCATTGCTCTGGCCTTCCTGCCACTGGTAGTGACCCTGCTGGCCAGATACCGCCACTACTTCCGGCTACTTGTCCGGGCTGTGTTACTTCGGGGGATTCGTGATTGCTTGACTGGGCTACAGCCTGAGGAGCGTGCCTTCAGCTATGTGTTGACCAATGCCCTGCCTGGAGACCCTGGCCACATCCTTGCCACCTTCGACCACTGGAGCAGCCACTGCGAATACCTGGCCCATCTGGGGCCTCTCAAAGGTCAGGCCCACCCTAAACTCACCTCCTCTCAGAAACCCTGCTTAGGAGCCAACCCGATATGGGGTCAAAAGATTTCAGGATGAAAGAGAGCTCGGAAATCACTATCTAACATGATCTGCCAGCACAGTGGCACCAGCAGGCAGCAGAGCATGGGCTTCCGGGAGTTGCAGGTCCCCCACTATTAACTGTCACTTAGAAGTCCAAAAAGAGGAAGGGATTGAGGCCCAGAATTACTGAAGTGCCTGCCCACAGGTAGAAGACCTGCGATCTCAGTTCTCATACTCCAATTCCAGTGGTCTTTTCCATGCTGCTATGCTAAAAACCCTGATGTGGAAAATACCTTGGGCAGGCCATGAGGAGGCCTGGGTTCTAATCCTGGAAATGCCACTAATTTGCTCTGAAACCTCAAGCAGCCACCTCATTCTTAGACGCCAGGCTCTTCCAGGATAGGGATTGTGTGTTCCACCTCAGACAGGGATTTCCTGAAGACAAAGACTCGGTCTCCTTCCTCTGTCTCTCCCTAGTTCCACCCTGTGGCTTGTTCTCTCCTCAGGTCAGATCCTGACCCGCCTGGTAACACAACAGGCCCCGGAGTGTGTGCTAGAGCTGGGGACCCGCTGTGGCTATGCTACCTTGCTCATTGCTCAGGCCCTGCCTCCAGGCAGCCGGGTCGTTACTATTGAAATGGACCCGCAGACAGCGACTGTGGCAGAAAAAGTCATCCGGCTGGCAGGCTTGGATGAGTGCAAGGTCAGATTGCTTTCTATCCCTTGATCTCGCTTTCTTTTGGGAGCCTGATCCACAAGTTCTCCTGGTCCCAAACAGCCTATGTTGGGGTAGCTAGGTGGTGCAGTGGATAGAGCACCAGCCTTAGAGTCAGGAGGATCTGAGTTCAAATGCGGCCTCAGACACTTAACTAGCTGTGTGACCCTGGGCAAGTCACTTAACCTCACTGCCTAGCAAGAAAAAAAAAAAACCAACCAAACAGCCTATGTCATTCCCTGCCAGCCTTAATATAGGTTCTTCCTCCTTCTTCTCCTGCTTTCCCCACTTATGCTGCTCCTCCCCACACTTCCCCATGAACCCATCCTGTGAGAGCCTCTGCCTTAGGGAATAAGAGGAACCAATGAAAGTAAAACAGGAGAATGTTAGAACTGTAAGGGGACCTTAGAACATGCAATAGTGTTAGAGCTGGAAGGAGTCTCAGAATAGGACCACAATGTTAGAGCTCGAACAAATATCTGCTGTGGAAAAGGCCTTAGAGACCATATTGTTCAACCACCTGATTTTTATAGAAGGGGAAACTGAGGCTTAGAGAAAAGACTTCCTGAAGTTCACAATATAAATGACTAATCCAGCTCAAACAAGGACTTTTATTCTCCTGTCTTCCTCTGTCTCCATCACCTATGAGAGAAGGGATGGCCACACAGGAAGCCCCTGCAGGAAGAGAACTGGCTTTCTCCTGCATTCCTTTTCCCCTCTCCCTCCTTACACTCCTCCTGTCTGTCCCTCTTCTCACATATCCCCATTCGGCAGGTGGAGCTGATTGTGGGGCGCTCTGAGGAGGTGATCCCCTGCCTAAAGGCCCAATACAGACTGCGTCAGGCTGACCTGGTGCTTCTGGGGCACCGGCCTCGCTGCTACCTGCGGGACCTGCAACTCCTAGAAGCCCATGCTCTGCTGCCTGCTGGTGCCACTGTGCTGGCAGATCACGTGCTCTTCCCTGGGGCACCACGCTTCCTGCAGTACGCCAAGGCCTGTGGTCGATACCGCTGTCGCCTCCACCACACTGGACTCCAGTACTTCCCTGCCATCCGTGATGGGGTGGCCCAACTCACTTACTTGGGGCCAGGCTGAGGAAGGTCCATCTTGTTAGGCTCATAGCATGGAGAGTTGGAAAGGGCCCCCCAGACTCTCATTTACCGAGGAGAAACCTGAGGCCAAGACTGGGATCTGCACCCGAGTTTTCAGCCTCCAGATTCAACCGTCCGCTTACTCTGGTATGCTACCTTTGGCCACACGCTACAGTAGATAGTGCACTACCTGCTACAGGAGACTCTGGGAGAGAGACTGAGGGCCATAGGTGGCAACTGAGAAGGCTCTCTCACCATTCTCTCTGCTTCTCCTCCTTTGTCCGGTCAGGGTTTCCTATCCCCCAGCTACCTGGCCCCACGAAGGCCTAGGCTCAGCTTTGCCCCGTGGCCCTCATAGGGGTTGGGAGGGAGGAAGGAAAGAGGCCAAGAGGAGGGGAGATCAAAGTAGAAAGAGCACCAGGGGAGAGAAACAAAACTGAACTTGGAGTGAAGAGATCCAGGTGTGAGTCCCAGCTCTAATGCTAGCTGGGTGACCTTAAACAAGTCACTTCACTCTCTGAGACTGTTTGCATATCTGTAAAATGGAATAATACCTCTGCCACAGGGTTGTTGTGAGCAAAGTGTTTGTAAACTTTGAAGCACTACAGAAATGGGAGCTATTATTAACTTCCTTCTCCCAAGTCAGTCCCTAGCTCACCTGCCTGGAGACTCACTGACGTGCCCATATTCCTGCCTCCCTCCCACATAGACAGGGGTAGAAGTTTGGAAAGCCATGTCAGGAAGAGCATAGTATCAATTTGTGGGGCTGCCTTCCACACTCATGGACCTTTCCACCCATTCCTTCCCTTTTCCCACATGCAAGAATCCTCATTCCCCTTCTTCAGCCCTCAGGCCTCCAAGACTTAGACTCTTGTCTTCTGGCACTTATAGGGTCTTATGGAAAGGGGAGAGTAAAGGAAAAGGGGATAGAGAGGTTACAGAATGGAAAGAATGCTGGACCTGGGGGTCATAGGGTCATAGAATGTTAGAGCTAAGTTTGCAAGAAAAAACTGCAGGTCAAAGATAGTGGCTGATTTGTCCAAGGTTACATAGTTAATATGTAGCAGAACCCCGGTCTTGTGATCCACAGTCAAGTCTTTGTGCTACGCCACATGCCATCACAACAAGCTTCCTCACAAGTCAGAAGACCTTGTCTGAGTTTCACTTATTAGCTGAATGACTGTGGACTTGGATTCCCCTTCACTGAGACTATTTCCTCATCTGGAACACAGAGATAATAATACTTGCACTAAATAATTCTGACTCCAGTACTTTTTACATGCTAAGCCACTACAGAAATGTAAGCTATTATTAGTTCCCTTTCCCCAGTCTGTCCCCAGCATCAATGTCTAAGCCCTTCTACTAGGCAAGAGGACCTATATGGTACAAAGGGAGATACACCTATCCTTGCCTAAAACCCATGCTGGGAAGGGATACCTGGCCCTGAATCCCTAGGAAAGTTAATCCTTTCTTAACTCATAGAAGGCCCCCAAGTCCTGGGACTTTTAGGGCCTGCTCTCAGTCGCTGGCAAGATCTCTACGTTCTCCTTAATAACTCACATTTTTCTAGTACTGTAAGGTTTTGAAAAGCACTCTCCTACACCAGGCTATGAGGTAGGTACTATTATTATCTCTATTTTACAGAAACTAAGGCTTAAGGGGGTCAAGTGACTTGACCAAGGCCCATAGTCACAAAACTATGAATACTGGAGCTGAGATGCAATTCAATTCAGTTAGCATTGAGCACCAATTCCAGGTCAGGCACTGTGCTGGGTGCTGTGGATACAAGACAAAAATGAGCCCAGGACTCTCTGGATGCCAAGTGGAGTGCCCTTTCCACTAGGTTATCCTGTCCAGAAGCATGGCAGCAAGAACAGCACTCCCACATCCAGAGCAGAGGCACCAAGGGGTGGAACAGGGATTATGGAGGTATAATAGATGTGGAAAATAAAACTTTGAAAAAGAAACCACCCTGGGTCTTTATTAAAAGGGTTAAGAGGTAGGGCGTGGGAAGGGAGTGGAGGAGGGCCAGTGGCTTGGCCAAGCAGCTCCCTCCGGGCTTCAGTGGATAACTGCCCTGTACCCAAGAGGCCCAGAGAGCGAAGACAGTTCTGGGGTCCAGTCTGCAGCACTGTCCTGCCAGCCCCAGCTAGATCATCCACTGGTCCTGGTCCTGCTCAGCACCTTCCATATCCACCTGGGGAGGGTACAGGGAGGCAAGCAGAGTTTATAGACTTCAGGTATCCATGGTCACTGAGTCAACTGGGCCAATTAGACTTCCTTTTTAAGCACCAGCCCATGGGGAAACCCAAAGAATCCCAGACTTAGGAGGGCTTAGTTTTCAGGGGATAGTGCCACGGACCTTGAACCCAACCCCATCTCCTTGGACTCATCAGAGGGTGCAAGGTCATAGCCCAAACAGGCTTGCAGTAGTGAGAAGCTGTGATTCAGAAACCCTCCCCCCCAACCCCTTACCCAATGAGGGCTGTGCCATACAGGGCGCTAGAGAGAGGAAGAACCTCAGCCTACCTCATTGATCTCCCCATCATCAGGGGATTCATTATAATCATTCATCTCATCCATGTCCTGCATATCCTCATCATCTTCTGAGTCTTCCTCACTGTCTTCGTCATCCTCATCATCTTCTTCTTCCTCATCATCATAGTGCTACCAGAGAAAATGGCAGACAGTTTAGGGGAGAGGTGGGGGCATGGGGCTGGCCTTCTACCTGGGAAGGGGGGTTCTTATCCCACATGAATCCCTCAGCTTCCATCTTTCAAACTCCACACAATGAGATCAATTCATTTGTACCTCCAACTTCCAGTACTGTCCTTTAGTACAATGAGGAGGTGGGAAAATAGGGAAGAGGCAGGGGGAAGGAATCCTGCTCTTTAGACACTTTCATGCCTTCTTTCCCTACTCTTGTCTGCTCAAAAGGCAATAGGTACCAGCCTATCAGGCCCTAGTGACAAGTTGTGGAAGCTAGGGCCATCCTCCCTCTTGTGGTCTTCGCAAGGCAGAGACTGGCTTCAGACTACTTCAGGGACACATCAGGAAACCAACGACAAAGGATTTCTTTCACCCTATTTGGAGTGTGTTCCTATTCCCCTCTCAAAGAACTGAGATTCTCATAGGGATTCTCTGTTAAACAGCTTTTACCTTATTCCAGAAACAAGCTATTAAAAAGATCTGGTTCAAACAGGAGGCAGCACACTGGAAATGGAGTCCAGAATGACCTGGGATCCAATTCCAGCTGTGGCACTCACGAGCTGTGGGAGTATAAGGATTTGCCTTAATTTCTCTGTGAAGGAGAGGAAAAAAAGCACTCACAACATTTTGTGAAATGAGAAGATTACTTCAGAACCCTTAAAGCACTGCAGAAATGGGAGGGACTAAAACTGCTCAGGGCTGGGGGTGACGTCTCCTCAGGCACATTCCAATCCCCCCCCCGTTCCCCATCTCACCCTATTCCTGTGGAGTCTGTTTATCCCTTGCCCCAGGGACTTTTCTTCCTGGGTACTTTTTTCCAGTGTCCAGAACCTCTAACCTGTCCCTCCCCAGTACCCAACCTCTCAGGCCTCAGTTCACCTCATGGTCCATGAAGCCCAGAAGGCACAGAGTGTCTCTGTGACCAAAAGATTTGCTGGGCTCACCTCTGAAGCTGGTTTCCCAATGGGTACTAGGTTGTTGTCTCTCTCAGCAATACTCTGGAGCTGTAGGAGAAATTATATAACAGAGCAGGAGAGGATGGTTACAGAAGTGGTAAGAAGTATCCATCCTGCTCCCAGATCGTCACCCCAAAACAGGAGACAATCCCTCTCCCCCTGGGACACATTGCCCCCATTCATATGTTCTCTCATGACCTTAGACTTGCTCCTTCCAAGGTGAGAGAGAACATGGTCTGAAGGAAGCATGACTGGGTTTTAATAGTAGGTATACTCTGAAAAGGGATGTTGGAGAAGGGTCACAGTAGCCAGGTTGTTGCTAAGCAATCAGATACTGACACAATTGGCCATTAAAACTGTTATTGTTGAGGGGATGCCCATCAATTGGGGAATGGCTAAACAAGCTGTGGTATATGAATGTAATGGAATACTATTGTGCTATAAGAAATGATGAGCAGGAAGATTTCAGAAAAAGCTGGAAAGACTTATATGAGCTGATGCTGAATGAAATGAGCAGAACCAGGAGAACACTGTACACAGTAACAGCCATGTTGTTCAATGACTAACTTTGACAGTCTTAGCTCATCTCAGCAATCCAAGGATCTAAGACATCTCCAAAAGTCTCATGATGGAAAATGCTATCCACATCCAGAGAAAGAACTATGGAGTTTGAATGTAGATTGAAGCATATTATTTGCTTTCTTTTTTTCTTCTGTTCTGTTTTGTTTCCTGTTTCTTGTACTTCCTCCTATAGGTTCTAATTCTTCCTTACAACATGACTAATGTGAAAATATTTAATAGGAATATATGTAGAGCCTATATCAGATTGCACGCCATCTTGGGGAGGGAGGAGGGCAGAGAAGGTGAGAAAAACTTAAAACTCAAAACCTTATGGAAGTGACTGTTAAAAGTTAAAAATAAGTTAATAAAAAAAATTTTTTTTAATTTAAAAAAAAAACCTGTTATTGATGTCTTGCCTAGCACTAAAGTAGCCCAGGGATGACAAGGAGAAGCTAGAATCCTGGACTCATAGCTCACCAGCACCTTGTTTGTCAAATCTACTTTAGGGAAGGTAGTCCTAGGGCAGTAATGGGCTTCGAGCCAAGGACTCACTCACAATTTCACAGAAAGTATTCCCATGAGCAAACAATGAGTCTTTTAGCTATTTCATTGGAAGAAAAAGTGTTTTCTGACTTCAACCGACTAGCCAGGGGGAAAGAATGGCTAGCAGGGATACCCTTCTCCCATGTCTTCCCTTTCCCTTCTTCCCACCGTTCCCTTAGGGCCTGTAGGCAGGAAGATTGACATGGCTGTTCATGTCATTTGGATGACACTGGAGTTACCAACTATTAGTCTTGCAGTAAGATGAAAGATCATCAGACCTTACCAATTTCCCTTGCCACCATGAGCTCAAGACTACTGGGCACCGCCATCTACACTTTGGACACCTGGACCTTGCCATCTGGCCTGAAGCTAAACTCTTTATGTTAACTAATAATTAATTAATTAGTTAATTAGATTGTGAGCTCCACGAAAGCAGGAACTATCTTGATTTGGGGGGTTTTTTCCCCCTCTCTATATCTCTAGTGCTTAGCATAGCATGGCACACTAAGTGCTTAATAAATGATTTTTCATTCATTCATTCACTCACTCATTCATTCATTTCAATGGAGGAGATGAGAAACCCTGCTGCCCTCAATGCCAAATTTCACTTCAAACCCTAAATCCAGAATCTCAGCTCAGAAAACACATTTCCTAAGTAGTGTAGTAGGAAAAAATAAGCCCTGATTTAGCTGAGAGAGGCCTAAGCTCAAACCCCAACTCTGTGATCCTGAGCTTGCTACCTTCTTTCTCTGGGCCTAAAGCAGAGTTCATAGTACTCAGATTGCCTCCTTCTGAGAGTTGTTGAGCAGAAAATCCTCTGTAAACATTAAAACACCACAGAATGGGGAGCTGTCACTATATTGCGAGGAGGTCTCACGCCACTCTGCCCTCCCTTGTGATGTCACTGACCCCCCAGGCTTGACCCTTCCTCCTCACCAATAGCACCATATCCTTCCTCCCTCCCAAGCTAGGTTCCCTATTCCCTGTCTGAGACTTTGCTTCATGTGGGAATACCTTCCCTTTTAGACTCAGCATCCCCAAATCCTTCTGTCCTTCAAGGCCTAGTTCAAGGCCCACCTTTTCTAGGAAGCCTTCTGGAGACTACATGATTTGGTAGAGGAGGCCCTTAGTGTGTATCCTAGAGCTCTGCTCCGTATGACCTGTGTGTCTCTGGGCAAGACACAACCTCTACTGGTCTCAGTTCCCTCCTATGTAAAATAAGAGAATCAGTCAGATTAGCACAAAGATGACAAAAGACAAAAATGATAAATGTTGGAGCAACTTTATGAAGGGAGGCTTATGAATACACTGTTGCTAGAACTACAAATTGGTCAGATTCTTTTGGAAAACAATTTGGAATTATGGTTTTTGTCCATATCCTTTGACTAAAAGATCCTACCCTTAGACACAAACCACAAGGAGGTGAAAGAGAGAAGAAAAGGTCCCACCTATGCAAAAATATTTATAGCAACATTTTTTGTTGTAGCAAAAAACTGGAAGGAAAATAAGGACCAGGATGCTGTGAGGGAGGTTCCATCCAGAGCACATAGTGAACTGAAACTAGAGCTCAGCTCTCATAGGATCACAGGAACTGGCAGTGACCTTTGAGATTACTTATTTCAACAGCTTTGAGTTGGAAGGGACTTTGGTTTTACAGATTAGGACACTAAGGCCAGAGAGATTTAAGTGACTTGTCCAATGTCACAGAGGTAGTAAGTAGTAGAGCCAAGCCTAGAACTCAAGTTCTCTGACTCTAAGTCCTCTGAACCCAAGTCTTCTGCACATCTCACTATACTGTCTCTGCCTCCTCATTCCCACTCCTAGGAATTCTTTTATTACATTGGTGGAGAAATTGAGATCCAAATAATAGAAGGAAGGGGTTGCCCAAAGTCATACAGAAGAAAGAAGGGAAGATGCTGCACACAGGTAGATGGAAGTCCATCACAAGAGACAAGTAGAACTACAGGCATAAGACATATGAACTGAGAAGAGTCTTAGGTGTAATCCAGATCACAGGTTCTCACAGTGGGCGATACTGCCTCCAGGAGGCGCTAGAACGATCCAGGAAGAGCAGTAGTAGCTTCAGGTGCAATTGGGGGGGGTGTTGAATAAAAATAGGGGGCGATGGAAGCATAACTAAAGAAGAGAAGAAAATTTTGAAAAACCATTCAAACCAATGTCATCTGTTGTATAACTGAGTTAAAGTCATAGCAATTACATCATTTTCCAAATAAACACACAAAATGAAAGTTATAAACAATCAGTGGTCAAGTCCGCCAACAGGTCTTAACAAGCAAGTGTTGGCAGGCAAGTGTGTCACACATTATGGGGAAATCCAGCATGCATTAGCAGGAATATGTGCATGTAACGACTTGTTTACAATATAATACTATATGGTTATATGACATGATACTGCATCATCAAAATTTCAATGTAGGAAAAAACCAATAAATTTACAAATTATTAAATTTAAGATCTGTCATTTAAAAAAAATAGATATTTTTTGAAATGATGCAAATTAAAAAAAAACCACTGAAGGGTTAAAGAAAGTAGATTTCCCACTTTTGAGAACGGACAGGGTCAAAAGAGAGAATAGAATAAATGGGGGGGCAGGGAAGGTGGGATAGGATGGAGGGAAATATAGGTAGTGTTTCACAACACATGTAAAACCTATATCAAATTGCTTCCCTTCTTGATGAGTGTTTGTGAGGAGGGAGGAAGGGGGAGAATTTGCAACTCAAAGTTTTAAAAATGAATGTTAAAAATTGTTTTTACATGCAACTGGAAATAAGATATACAGGCAAAGGAGTACAGAAATCTATCCTGCCCTACAGGAAAATAGAAGGGGAAAGGGATAAGAGAAGGTGGGGTAGTGATAGAAGGGAGGACAGATCGTGGGAAGGGGTATTTAGAATGCACACTGTCTTGGGGTGGAGGTAGGGGAGAGATGGGGAGAAAATTTGGAACTTAAAATCTCGTGGAAGTGAATGTTGAAAACTAAAAATAAATACATTTTAAAAAAAAAGAAAAAAAGTAGATTTCCAGGGAGGTGCTGAGTAATTTTTTTTTTAAGAGGGCAGTAGGTCAAATAAGTTTGGGAACCTCTGATCTAGACAATTCTCTCATTTTCAACAGAAGGAAACTGAGTCTCAGAAAAGTAATATAAATTATCCCAAATTACAGAGGAAGTATTCTAGTCAAGATATGGCCCAGGTTCTCAAATTCAATGTTCTTTCAACAATCATTCAGTTCTATCCCCTCTTTTAATAGAGGAGGAAAATGAGGTCAAGAGAAAGGAAAGGGGGCAGCTAGGTGGCGCAGTGGATAGAGCACCAGCCCTGAAGTCAGGAGGACCTGAGTTCAAATCTGGCCTCAGACCAAGCACTTGACACTTACTAGCTGTGTGACCCTGGGCAAGTCACTTAATCCCAATTGCCTAAAAAAAAACAGAGAGAGAGAGAGAAAGGAAAGGACTTAATCAGGGTCACATGTTGTCAGTGGCAGAATTGGGATCTGAATGCAGGTCTCCTGATGTCCAGCCCAGGGCCATTTCCAATACGTCATGCTGTTACCTTTCTTAACAGGGATAAGACATGGACGATGTGGTGAGTTTCTGTATGAATGAACAGGGCAGTTGGCACTATAGCCAGACTCCAAGGCCCCGTCTCTTGGTCTGAGCCTCCCCATTTTTTTTTTTTTTTTGGTGAAGCAATCAGGATTAAGTGACTTGCCCAAGGTCACACTGCTAGTAAGTGGCAAGTGTCTGAGGCTGGATTTGAACTCAGGACCTCCTGACTCCAAGGCCAGAGCTTTATCTACTGTGCCACCTAGCTGCCCCTTGAGCCTCCCCTTTCTTAAGGGCCCTGAGAGAAGAGGAAAGGGATGTGTGCCTAGAGCCCAATGACTCACCCAGGCCTGATGCTGCTGTTCTTGCTGCTGTAGCTCGTTTTCATCCACACAGGGTCGATCCAGGTTAAACCACAAGGACTCTGTGACACGTGGAAGTAATGAGGGGAATAGAGTAGACATGGCTCCTGTAGAAAACAAAAGACCCAGAGGGATATAGGAGATTAGGTTGGAACCTTATGGAATAAAAGGGGATGGAGAATGGGCAACTCCACCCCTGGTCCTTTTCTCATAAGGAAAAGGGATCAAAGTTAATTTTTTCATAGCAAAGAACTGGAAACTAAGGAGCTATCCATCAATGAGGGAATGACTAAACAAATTACGGTATATGAATACACAGTGGAATATTTTTGTACTGTAAGAAATCGTGAAAAGGACAGCTTTAGAAAAACCTGGAAAGATTTATATGAGCTAATGCAGAGTGAAGTGAGCAAAACCAGGAGATCAATTTATCTTATTTAAAATTTTATTTTTTTCCAATTACATGTAAAAACAATTTTAATATTCTTTTTTTTTTTCAAAATTTGAGTTGCAAATTCTGTCCCTCCCCACTGAGAAGGCAAGCAATGTGACATAAGTTATACATGTGTAGTCGTGCAAAACTCATTTTCATGTAAGTCACTCTGTGAAAGAAAACACAGGCCAAAAAAACAAACCACAAAAAAAATAAAGGAAGTAAAGAAAAAAGTATCTTTGATCTGCATTCAGGCTCTACCAGTTCTTTCTCTGGAGATGGACTGCATCTTTCATCATAAGTCCTACAGAAATGTCTTAGATCATTGTATTGCTGAGAATAGCTAAGTCATTCGTAATAGATCATCATACAATATTGCTGTTACTATGTACAATGTTCCAAGAGATTAATTTATACAATAAACTACAATACCGTAAAGACAAACAACTTTGAAAGACTTAAGAACTCTAGTTAATGCAATGACTAACCATGTTACCAGAGGACCAATGATGAAGTAAACTACTTACCTCATGATAGGCAGGTGATAAGACTCAAAACACAGAATCAGACATACATTCTTAGATATGGCCAATGCAGAATTTTTTTTTACTCTTCATATTTGTTACAAGGTTTTCTTCTTTTTTTCAACGAAAGTTGGGTGGAAGGATTAGAAAATTATGTTTATTTTTTTTAAAAAAGGGAGCTGAGGTCAGAGAAAGAGGCAAAAAGGTCAAAGGGAAGCAAAAAGGAGCTCAGGGCCAGGGCTACAATATGAAGAAGAGGATTAGAATCACAGAACAACACAACTTTATAGCGCTGGAAGGGATCTTTCCTTTCTTAGGATTTTTGCTTTCTTTCAGTTTTTTTTTAATTAATTTATTTATTTTTAGTTTTCAACATTCACTTCCACAAGATTTTGAGTTCCAAATTTTCTCCCCATCTTGGCCCTCCCCCGACCCCAAGATGGCATGCACTCTGAGTACCCCTTCTCCTAATCTGCCCTCCCTTCTATCTCTGCCCCCCCCCGTTCTCTTATCCCCTTCCCCTTCAATTTTCCTTGTTCCAGTTTTTCTTATGGCCTTTATCACATCCCATCTGATGTTAAAGTGAGCCCTACACTAGGAGAAAGACACAGGTTCCAGCTCTGGCTCTATCACTGGCTCTATCACCTTGAAAATTCTTTTGCCTTCTTGCAACTTGTTTTCCCCTCTTCCCCATTACTTAAAATGCCTTCTAATGAGTCTATGGTATCCAAACTGTGAAATTCTTTTTAAGGATGCAGGTTACAATTTATCCACGCCTGCCAATCATCCTATGCTATTCTCATCTGTGTCCTCCTAGAAGTGTTAACAAAAGATTGACAATAGATGTTCTTCATCCACTTGATTTGTGCAGTGTGGATAGTTGAGCCAAATTCTTTTGATTACAAATCTCATTTAGGAAGCCCAGTCATATTCTGGGACTTGATGCAACTGGCACAATGTCATCTACAAAAAAGGAACATTTGGAAGACCTCAATATTTATAGAAAATCTCTCTTTAATTTGAATTTTGTTAGCTCTTTCTTATGACAGTGTCAAATACCTTTCACAAATATGCAGCTTCTTTTATGTCTTACTTGATATTAAAGATCACAGGGTAAGCCAAAGTTATCACTGTTGTTATATCTTTTTTTTTTTTGGCAAGGCGATTCGGGTTGAGTGACTTGCCCAGGGTCACACAGCGAGTGAATAGTATGTGTCTGAGGCTGGATTTGAATTAGGGTCCTCCTGACTCCAGGGCCAGTGCTCTATCTACTGTGCCACCTACCTGCCCCGTGTTATATCTTTCAAAGAATGTTATATATTTTTGACATGTGCATGGGCAATACATTATTGAAGCCTTAAGGGATTATTTTGGTCTACTCTATCAAATGCATTTGTATAATAAAGAATAAGTACTCTGTCTTTCAGTTGATTGTGTGATGGTAAAGACGTAGTTTATTGATGAAGAAATTAAAGCTATCTATAGTCATACGAAAAAATGCTCTAAATCACTATTGATTAGAGAAACGCAAATCAAAACAACTTTGAGGTACCATATCACACCTATCAGATGAGCCAACATGACAAAACAGGAAAATGATAAATGTTGGAGAAGATATGGTAAAATTGGAACACTAATGCATTGTTGGTGGAGTTGTGAACTGATCCAAACATTCTGGACTGGAACTATGCCCAGAGGGCTATAAAACTGCATACCCTTTGATCCAGCAATACCACTGAAAAGGAAAAGGGAAAAGTGAAAAAGTGAAAAGGACCCACACGTACAAAAATATTTGCAGCAACTTTTTGTGGTGGTAAAGAAGTGGAAATTAAGAGGATGCTAATCAACTGGGGAATGGCTGAACAAGTTGTGGCACATGAATGGAATGGAATACTATTGTGCTATAAGAAATGATGAGCTGGCAGATTTCAGAAAAATTTACATGAACTGACACTTAGTGAAGTAAACAGAACCACAACACAGTACACAGTAACAGCAACATTGTGCAATAACCAACTTTGATAGATTTAGCTCATCTTAGCAATGCAATGCTCTAAGACAATTCTAAAAGACTCATGATGGAAAATGCTATCCACATCCAGAGAAAGAACTATGGAGTCTGAATGCAGATCAAAACATACTATTTTCTCTTTTTGTTTTTTGTTTTGCTTTGTCTTTCTCATTGCTTTTCCTTTTTGTTCTGATTCTTTTTTTACAACATGACTAATGTGGAAATATGTTTAATATAATTGTACATGTATAGACTATATCAGATTCATACTGTCTTGGGGAGGGAGGGGGAAAATTTAGAACTCAGAATCTTATAAAAGTGAATGTTGAAAGCTAAAAATTAATTTAAAAAAAAGATCTAATTCACTGTGGAATCACTTGAGAAAATCTTGTTCCCTTCTGATACTTTTATATAAAAAATGCTCTACATGCAAGAGCAGGTTATTTTCATAAAATTTAAAAATATTATATATGGGGAAAATAGATAGGTCAATAGTTATTGTGGTTTTTCAAATGCCTTCATTCTTTCAGTAATCACAAAGCCTGAGATTTTTTTTCATACCTTTGCTATCTTCTCCTTCAGATATTTTTTTTAATTCTTTTTTTTTTCAGCAAGGCAATCAGGGTTAAGTGACTTACCCAGGGTCACACAGCTAGTGAGTATCATGTGTCTGAGGCCAGATTTGAACTCAGGTTTTCCTGACTTCAGGGCAGATGCTATATCTACTGTACCACCAAGCTGCCCGTCTCCTTCAGATATCTTAAGGATCAACATTTAGTGCCCTCAAAATTGTTACCTCCATCACTGGTTCCCTCTGTATATACTTGGTCTGGCCCAGATGCTTTTCCCATCTTGTTTTCTTAAGTGTTTTCTTACTTCTTCACATCTAGTACTGTGAGGTTAGACTCCAAATGTGGTGATTCCACTGTCCTTGATACTGAAAAGTTTATCACAAAAATATTGGAAGCTTTATCTAAACAATCTGCACTGTCCTCTATTTTTGAATGTTTTATGACATGATGCTACTCATAATTTTTCATAATCTTTCTTTGAAAGATTTTAAAGATGAGATTATATTCTAAACCAGTGTTGTTGCTCATGATTTCCACATTTCTCTGCTTGCCAAAATCATTTTAGGGCTCTTTTGGCTTTCTGGTTATGGTACCTGATTTGCATTAGTCAAACTTCTAAATGAAACTGTAATAATTGGTATGATATCCCTTCCTCTGGGACAGCTAGGTGGCCCAGCAGATATAATGATGGGACTAGAATCAGGAAGATTCATCTTCCTGTATTCAAATCTGGCCTCAGATCCTTACTAGCTGTGTGACCCTAGGCAAGTCACTTAACCCTATTTCCTCATCTGTAAAATGAGCTAGAGAAGGAAATGTCAAACCACACCAGTATCTTTTCCAAGAAAACCCCAAATGGGGTCAGGAAGAAGAGAACACCACTGAAAAACTTCTGAATAAAAAGAGTCTTATCACTGAAAAAGTCCCATCCACTTCCCACCCCTCCAAGGACAGTTAACTGGATTTGCATTTAGACTTGCTTTTCTAGTAACCTTTGTAGATGGATAAGCAATTATAGGAGTCTGGCTGAAAAATTACTTAATTTTTTCCTATAACAGTTGGGATCTGAATATCAGAAGGGGCAAGGGACTCGAGTCCAACCCCCTTATTTGTAGATGAGGCCTTGTTTTTGTTCCATTATGTCTGATTCTTCCTGACCCCATTTGAGGTTTTCTTGGCAGAGATACTGGAATACTTAACCATTTTCTTCTCCAGCTCATTTTGCTGATGAGGAAACTGAGGTAAAACAGGGTTAAATGACTTGTCAAGGGTCACACAGCTAGTGTCTGAGGCCACACTTAAACTCAGAAGATGAGTCTTCCTGACTCCAGTCTCGGCACTCTATCCACTTAGCCACCTAGATGCCCAAATGAGGCCTGGAGAAGTTAAATGCCTTGCTCAAAGTCATACTACTAAGTAGAAGACCCGGGATATGAACCCGGCTCTTCTAATTCCAAATCCCATGCTAAATCGTCTACACCAACTGGACTTCAACTCGGGTCTCCGGACTGACTCCCAGGCCAGTGCTCTTTCCCCCAAATCAAATCGAGTCCACTTTTTCTCATTGCTGAGCTCAGACAGGAAACCAGGCCAGATTAATGGAGGCTATGTGGGGACACAGGGACGGCGCTGCCCAGGGACCACGGGGAGCCCAGGTACCATCCTAAAAATGACAGGCAGCTTTAAGGATTAAAGGGAAGAAAAACCTGGCAGTGTGGAGGGTGGGGGAAGGACGTGATCATGCAAGAACCAAGGGAGAAGAGGCAAGAGGCGGGTCCCAGGAAAGTGACTGAACCAATGGGAGGAAGTAAAGGAAGAGCAGCACTCGGTTGGGGGCGTGTCTACACGGGGAACGCCCAGAGCCCGGAGGAGGGCGGGGCTTTGGGTAGGAGAATGCCCTACAGGGAAGGAGACCGAACAGGGGGCGGGGCCTAGGACAAGGCCTGGAAAGGAATATTTGTTTCCAAATGACGGAGAGCAAGGCCAATGAACAGAGGTCTTGAGGAAAGGGGCGTGGCTTCGGGAATGGGGATGTGGCCAATAGGTGGACCCAACCTAACCCCAGGGAACGAGATTAGCAGAAAGGATCGTTTTCGGGATCGGAGATGGGGTAGGGAATATGGGGCTCCTCTTGAGGAATCCCATAGCGCCATTCACGGACCCGCTGCCCTTACTCACCGCGCCAGGAAGTGGTAGCCGGTGGCGACCCGGAAGTACTTCCGTCTCCCTGAACGGAGTGCTGTGGTAGTACCTGACAAAGATCCGCTCCTCGCTCAAGCGTATCTCCGCCACAATCGCTTTCCCTAGGGACGCGCATGCGCGAACCGAGGGCTTCAGCGCTACGCCCCCTCTATGGTTTCGAGTGTGATGGCGTCTCTCACAAAAGGGTTAGTGGTTGGCCCAGCGCGCCAGTCCCGCCCCTTCCCCCTGGTCCAATTGTCAGTGCTCATCCCACCCCTCCCACTGCTAACTGTTCGTGAGGCCGCGCCTCCATCCTGGGCGTTAACAGCGGCTCTTCCCTGCCTAGGTGGCGTCTGGGCCTTGGAAGCTCTGGTGGTGTTTTTCTCTTTGTGCCCCCGATCCGCCCAAAGAAGGGGGAAGCTACTTCTGAGAGTTAGAAAAATACTGCCTCCCTCATTGCACAAATATTAGAACCAAGACTCTAGGAGTCAGGTGGGCGATTGGTGTGAGAAACCCTGGTTCCAGGATGAATTAAATTAAAACAAGCATTTATGAAGTGCCTACTGTGTACCAGATAACTAGGAAGGGCTGGGAGGTATCAAGACATAACAAAACAGCACCTGCCCCCAGGCCTAAACAAAACAAATGACCTAGGAAGACACTAATGAGAGGAGCTGGAAAGGACTGAGTCAAGAAGCCAGCAGCATTTGTTAAATGCTTTGTGCGGGAAACCGGGCTAAGTGCTGGGAAGGCAAATATACAAGAAGGAAAGGCCCTGCCCGCTAAGATCTTAACTTCTTATGGGGACTACTATACTATACATAAAAGGAAGCTGGTGGGGTGGTGAAAGGAGGAGATTGTGCCCTGGAGGATTTGGGTGAAGAAATTGTGGGGAGTCAGGCAGGAATAATTAAGATAAATGAAGATGTGGTTGTCCTAGGCATTTTGCTTGAAAAGAAGATTGTGAAAATTTTGAGGTTTAGAGGTGCTTGGACCCCAAAATCACAACACTTGGGTCCTGCCCGAATGAATTGGACCCAAGCCTTCTTTCAGCCAAAGACAAGTTTTATTAAAGATCATCCATATTGGCCAGAGTCTTAAGGAATCTAAACATTTGTGACACTGGTAAAGACAGGCAGGTATGAGGAAGTCTCAGCCCCTAAAAGGCAGCCAGAATAGATCTTATTATAAGCATAAACACTATGGGAGGGATCTAGGAGTGGCCAAATAGTTTGGGGTGACTGGAGGAGGGTCTAGGAGAAGGAGGGTCTTGATGGGAGCGGCCAGTAAGCTGGAGTGACTGGCTGAGGGTCTAGGGAGGATCGGGAGATAGGACCAAGGACGGGAAGTAGCCTGGGGCCATCTAGTTTTAATAGACCCTGGAGGGCTAGGCTTAATTAGGGTAACAAGAATTGGGAGGTAGGTAGTAGATTTAGGCAATAAGAAAAGGCCAGCTGATTGGATTATAGCCTCAGGAGACTGCTAGACTTCCTTGACCCGGTAAAAGTGTTCAAGGAGAGTCCTGTAGACAAATGGGACCCAAATTCTTTTTGGGATGAGGGGCAAAGGTCTCCTCTTGGGTCTGTACCCCATCAAAAAGAGCCAACTGAGGTAAAGTGAACTTGTGGGGTGGAAAGACCAAGAGAGGAGTGAATTTCCAGGGTAAGGAAGCCATTTCATAGTTCTGAGCTAAGTGAAATCTGAAGGAAACCTGTTATTCTAAAAAGCAGGAAGTAAAGAATGTGTTTCAGGTTTGGGAGTCAACCTGGGCAAAAGCAGGGAACCAGGAGATGGGATGGCATGTGTGAGAAACAGCAAGAAGGTCAGTTTGGGAGTACCAAGTCAAGAGATTCATAGTAACTTTGGTAAGGTATTTTGGTGCCAGGTCAATAAGCAATTATTAAGCACCAGGCATTGTGGTAAGGTACAAAGAAAGACAAAAATAGTCCCTGCTTTCAAGGACCTTGAAGTATAAACAGGTGAACAAGATGAAAATAACAGTGTACAAACAAGATATATTCAGGATGATTTGGTGGTGATCTCAGAGGGAAGGCATTAAGATTAAGGAGATTGGCAAAGAGATGAAGACCCATATGTACAAAGATATTTATAACAACTCTTTTTGTAGTGGCAAAGAATTGGAAGCTTGAGTGCCCATTAATTGGAAAATTCCTGAACAAGTTATGGTATATAAATGTGATGGAATATTATTGTGCTGTAAGAAATGATGAAGGAAGGCTTCTGCTTAAGTTAGGGTGAGCGAAGACCACCCCAGAGCCCAGCCAGAAGGAGGATTACAAAGATAAGCCATTGCAACTCCCATCAAAAAGTCTTGGGCCAAAGTACTGTCTGCCCTAACATATATGCTCTATCTGGAGTGGCCTGAGGGATGGAACCTGGCCCAGGGATGTTCCTCCTCTCAAGGACAATGCCATGGCTTGGGAGGCAGCAGTTTCCCATCACTGAATCAGGTCTTCCAGAGGCAAAGACCACTTGTTGAGGATGCTTTAACTGGGGTTACTGTTCAGGCACTGGATATATTAGATGGATGACCCCTGAAACCACAGGCTTACTGTTAAAGCTTAGAATTTCCAGTAATCCAGGACCTGGGCCAGAGCAGGTGCCAGGAAGGACTTTGCCTCTGCATTCCCTATTCTGAAGTCATTGGGGTAGGGCAAAGGGACAGAGGGAAGGGAACAAATCCACTGACAACATCTCTTGGGTATTGAGTTCTGTCCCTGTCCCCAGTTCTATTCCCAGAATTCTTTGGGGGTCAGAAGAACTGGTTTCCTTTTATAAATCAGGGGACTAGACAAACAAGTCATCTTGTCTTCTGACTTGGTCTGTGGTGGAAATTATGAACGAGACAAGTGATATTCATTGGCAACCAACCAGGACAAGGCTTTCTTTGAAGTTTAATCTTCTCTCATCAGAGATGACTGCATATTAGGTAGAAGCCATCTTCAAGAGTTCTTGGTTCTTGCACAACTCACCCCTTTCCTCTTCCCTCTCTCACTAAAAAGCTTCTCAGGATCAAATAATTTCAGAGTTGAGCTCTCTTGTCCATTTAACACCTGAAAAATAATTTCCCCTCCTGCAAGAGGCCATTGCTAAACAGCTGGCATAGAGGGAAATCCACTACCTCCTAAGGTAGTTCATTCCAGATATGGGGAGATCTAACAGTCAGAAAGTTTCTCCTAATCCCAAACCTACATTTGCCTCTTTTTGATTTCCACCTATTACTTCTAACTCTGCCCTCTGGGATCAAACACAGTAAGTCTATTCCATCTTCTTCAAATACTTGAAGGCAGCTAACATGCCTCCCCTAAATCTTTGCTTCTCTGGGATAAATATCCTCAGTTCCTGCAAGGTAGCCTCTTATGCTATCAATCAAGGTCCTTTACCATTCTGGCTTCCCTGTTCTGGACACTCTCTAGATCCTTCCTAAAAGGTGATGCCCAGAACTGAACCCAGTACTCTGATGCTGTTGAACCAGAGCAGATTGTGGAGCAATGATCACATGCAATCTTGAATGCCTTGCTTCAAAGAAATGCAACATATCACATTACTAGCAGCCTGCCAAAACCTATACATAGTACAAAAATTTTTTTTACTGATGCTTTTAGACACGGTGCTGTCAGTGCTCAATACTCTACTCCCCTCCCCCATGAAAACTCCTCTTGTAATAAGAAATATATTTAAACAAAACAAAATAACATTTACCGTATCTGACATCATATGCCTCATTTAGCACCTGTAGTCTGCCACCTCTCCAGGGAGGAGAGGAATGTTTCAACATTAATGATATGGTGAACCGATCTGAATTCTGATATCTTTTAGGATTCTCCTTTACTTAGTTAAAAAAGTTTTCTTTGTCACTAGTGTTGCCCTCTTCATTTTGTTTACTTAGTTCTGTATCAAATAAATCTTCCCAAGTGTCTTCAAGTGCAATAATACTCCATTACATTCACATAGCAACATATGTTTGGCTATTCCCCATTTGACAGGCATCTAGTCTGTTTTCAGTAGTTTGCTACCATAAAAAGTGGCACAACAAATATTTTGGGATACGTGGGGCCTTCCCTGTCTTTGGCCTTATTGGAGTATCTCCAGAGGGGAGTGGTATTGAGATCAAAGGGCATGAACAATTTAGGTACTTTTGTAGGGCAACTCAGCCTCAGATGTTCAGATAAACTGCTGTGTAGCCATGTGTGTCCACGTGTGTCATCTTATGCCAACCCTTTTTTTAAAAATTCTAATCCTTTAGAATGTGATCGCATTTGTTTTCCCTGAAAAGCTAAGGAAGTGGTACAGTGGTAGACAGAGTGCTGGACATGGAGCCAGAAGATGTGGTTCCAGTTCCAAGGTCACTCAAATAGTTATGTGATCAGAGGAGAATCAGTCCATCTTTCTGAGCCCTGTTTCCTTCATCTGTAAAACGTAAAACCTCTGGGCTATTTCTCTTCTAGGGGTGCTATGAGGATCAAGTGAAGTCATAGATGGGGAAGCTCTTTGTAATGGGAAAGCTCTAGCAGAGGTTCCCAAACTTATTTCTTATTTAACCTACTGCCCCCTTGTAAAAAAAAAAAAAAGTTTCAGTGCCCTCCTGACAATCTACTTTCTTTAATTTTTTTTTAATTTGTGTCATTTCAAAAAAATACAAAATATTTTTAAGCAAACATGACACATCTTAAATTTAATAATTTATTGTAAATTTGTATTCTTTTCCCTGCATTGAAATTTTGATGATGCAAAATTGCATCATGTAACCATATAGTATCATATTGTAAACAAGTCATTACATGCCCATATTCCTGCCCATGAGTGCTGGACTTCCTGACAATGCGCAACACACTTGCCTGCCAACACTTGCTTGTTAAGTCCTGTTGGTGGACTTGACCAATCAGTTATAATTTGCGTTTTGTGTATTTATTTGGAAAATAATGTAATCACTACAATTTTAACTCTGTTACACAACAGAGGAAACATGTGTTAATGGTTTTTCAAAATTTTCTTCCTTTCTTTCCTTATGCTTCCACAGCCCCCTTATTTTTATTCAACACCCCCCAGTTGTACCTGAGGCTA